AATACTACAAGCAACACAATAACCGAATAATAAGTTAAACATATTCAAATAATTCTAGTTGCTTCTACCAGCCCTCCATTCAGTTCAATACATTTGTCGCATCTTTTTCTTAGATTAACAGTTACATTCCTAAGCTGCTGTGGTGTAATATTTGCAGGAGCCTCTGTAATTCTAATACGTAATTCATCTACAGATTGAGGTCTAGACTTGTAAACTTGTTGCTTTAAGAAACCCCAAAGAAAGAAATCAAGGGGTGTTAGGTCCGGGGATCTCGGTGGCCACTCAATTAGCGGGCTATTTCGACCTATCCACTTATTTTCAAAATTTTCATTTAACCATTCCCTGACAACTGCCGCGTTATGCACAGGTGATCCGTCCAATTGAAATTTTAAATTCAAACGGGTTTGGCATGGTAAATTATGTATTGCATCCCAAAAGTCATTAATCAGAAAATTCAAAAACGTTGGACTATTCAAATTTCTCTCAAAAAAATATGGACCAATGATTCTATCATCAAGTATGCCACACCACACATTTAATTTCTGAGAATACTGTCTTCTTGTATTGATCACCCATTCAGGGTTTTCGACTGCCCAGAATCGCGAATTTTGAGAGGATACTACTCCGTTTGTACTAAATGTTGCCTCATCACTAAATAAAATTTCTTTTAAGAAATTTCTATTATTTAAATACTCTGCTTGAGCCCATAAGCAGAATTCTAATCGTCTAACATCATCTCCGTTTTCCAAAGTGTGTAAAATCTTTGGTTTAAAGGGTTTAACTTTATTAGTTCGCAAACATCTCCTAATATTTTCCCTTGGTATATCCAAATCAACACTGGCGCCTCTAATGCTTGCACGAGGATTGTTACGAAAATATTCTAATATTTCCTCATTCCGCCTATTTATTCGATGTTCCGGCCTTCTGTTTTTTAGTAAGTATTTTGACACACAACCAGTTTCATTAAAAACTCTATTTATTCGTTGAACCGTGCTTCTACTTACTGCAGGTCTGTCGGGATGTCTGTTGTTAAATTCTCTGGCAGCTTCTCCTGCTTGAAGATAGTTATCACCCACTAAACGAATAATTTCAATTTTATCCCTAATATTTAATTGTTCCATAATGCAAATAATATTTCTTGATACAACACTTTTCTGCGTGCTATTAAATTAATATTCAATTCTACGCTGCAAGAATTGACAGCTAATAAAACCCATTGTTGTGGATTGTTTTTTTCAAGGGTTACGTGATAACTCATCGTTAAATTGGCAAAAATAGGGAATTATTTAATTTAACTGCAGAATTATTAATAATTAATATTTTTAAACGAAATTTGTACAGAACTGTTTTGGGGATGCCGAATGTGGGGTGTACTCAAATTTTTGAAAAAAATCGCTAATATGATTTTGCAAATTTTTCACCACAAAAACTTTATTAAGTAGGCCTTGTTTTTTGTGAAATAACATGATATTGAGCCCTAAAGTACATTTTTTGAAACTTTATATTTGAAAAAAAAATCATCAAAATCGGACTATAAACACAGATTTTATGGAGGGTGCCCGGTCTTGAGTGGGTCACACTGTAGATTTTTTATAAACATTTATTTGAACATATTAAAAAAAATCTATTTAAAAATGAAGCAATAAAATGAAACAGAACTTATAATATTAGAAATTAAAAATTACATGGAGAATTGCAGTGAAAAACGCAGTTACAAAAATTATTATGTTTAGCTTCCGTTTCGGTACTTGAAGATGCTGAATTTGAATTGAAATAAACGAACCTATAGTAGGTAAAAAAACATTAGTATTATTATTAAAACTTCTAGCAGTTTCATTGTCTCTCATTTTTTCTACCAAATTTGCATGATGTTCATCATCGAGTTGAAGGTAAGGTTGGGTTTGCGTGCCCAGTTATTTTGACCATTGTGTTCTCCTCAACCCCCTTCTTTGCTCTTTGCTAGTGTCGACACAGCTGTTGCACTTAGCGAATGATTAGTCATTTTTACTTTCTCCGTAGCCAACCCTGATTTTTTCGCTTCGATAGACACCCATTGAGCAATCGTATTCTCCCAACAGGAAGGTTCTTGAACCATTTACCTATTTTCCAGGAAGGATTTACTGTTAAAAACAATCTTGGAACATTAATTAATTTTCTTTTTCCAAAAATTTTTTGAATAGCCTTACTGGACATATATCCGGTTGACCTCTATTTATGACCAGCCATTTTGACATAAGGTTTATCTCCTCCTTCAGTGGTTTTATCGAATATCGGGTTATATTCAATGCGACCGGTGGGTTGTCCTATATTATCAATATCATCTTTAAAATAGGAATCTAAACATTTAGCTCCCTTTTCTCCTCGCCATGCCAATTCGTAGGATAATACAAAAAATATTTTTTTTTGCAAACCATCGGGAAATTCTTCATTACAATTTCGTACCATCAATTTGAATTCTTCGTATTTAAATGCCTTAGAGCTTTCTTTTATTTTTAGAGGGTCCATCTGCAATTCCGTCCTTTTGGCACTTTTTGCCTCCCGGGATATTTTAAATTCGGTACAAGTAAAAGGATTAAATTTAATATATTATTTTTAGTATTTTTCCATTAATAGCTTGACTCTTACATTCCAAATAGTTTTTACCGTAAAATCCTTATAGTCTTGGCAGTTTTTCCTTTGGCAGAGATGTTTGCATCCAAAATGTAGTTTCTATCTTTTATAAAGTCCATAAACTGTTTCCATACATACTGGTGATTAATTATAGTGTTTATCGGCTTACTTTCGGCAACTTTTTCTTCAATTGCACTTAAAGAATCGTTTCCAAATCGAGACATTTTTAGAATACCTACTAAAAATAACTTACGTCTAAGTGACAAATGTGTCATTGTCACTTAGACATTCTGCGGGAAATTTTCGCCTGGTAAGACCATTGCCTGGAAACTTATATGGTGAAATTTTAATAAAATAATTTAGTACACACTAAAAACACGGTATGTCGCTAGAGGTAGGAAAAATAATTTTTAGAGGTTACTAGTTTATTTGGTTGCCTGTGATATACATATACAGGGTGTTTTCTAATTAATCTAAAAAATATAAAATCGGTAGAAAAACGAAAGGCGGGCTCTTAATAAGTATATTTATTTTTTTCTCGACAACCGTTTGATGAACAAGAAAAACTCAAAAGATCAATTTTGTTGAAAAAGGATAGCCAGTCAAGAAAAAAATATATTTTCTTTAAAAAAGCAGTGGTGTACCATTTATGTCAAGCAAAAAAATCGATTTTTTTTAATTTTAACACCCTGTAGATTAGAAAGGAAGTACTTTAGACCCAATGGTTATATAAAAATTGTTTTAAGAACACATGAGGAATCACACCATAATTTTTTTAGACTAATTCGAAAACACCTTGTATATTGTCAACTTGACAATGACTGCTGATAAATCAAAAAATACCTTTTCAGTGAAAAAAGCCTGATTTTCGCAGGAAAAATTTTGATTTTTATTGAATTTGGGCCTGCGTTTGCAAATACTCGTTTGTTTTTAATTTTCTTTCTATCTAAACTTTAAATATCATAGTCAGAAATAGTTTTATTATTTATTAACTGTAAAAATGGTGTTTTCTTGTTGTGTTGCATCTTGCAAAGAAACTAACAAAACTGCAAAAATGTACGTGTTTCCAAAAGACGATAAGGTATCTTAGATAAAAGAAAAATATATGGTATGTATTCGTTGTTTGATTTTTTTTTCGTTCGCTTTAAAATCTATAAATCTCGGTCTATTCATTAGACAGCCAGTCGACTTACGATCATTTACATGAAACTCTGTAAAATAAATAAACAAATAAATTGTAAAATATATATATTCTTATGTTTTATTAAAGTTACTCTGATATACTAATATATCAGTATAACTTTAAAAATAAATCCTTTGAATTCAAATATAAACATAAAAAAACATTTACAGCAGAAAAGGCGAAGGCGCTGGGTTAAACGTAGTCTCCACTAAAAACACGGAGGGGCGCTTTGACCCAAAATTTTACTATTAAGTTTCATATCTATCTTAATAGTAGATTATTTTCTCTTATCTATGATTTAAACATCGTTTATTATAATAAAACAAGACCGACGTAATACGTCCAAAGTTTTGTAAATGGAGTAAATATAAATAGGTACTTAAATGATGGCAAAAATAAAAGACTTACAGTATATGTTTAGGGCCAGAAACAAAAGGAATTGTCTAATTAAAACACATATAACAAATTATAGTTTGAAAAACGTTTTGATAATCATTTATTTGATAATATTATGATTGGCGCTATGACAACGACAATATTTTTTCAGAATTTGACAATAATATGACAATGGCCGTTGGAAACTATGGAAACTACAAAAAAATTCTGATTTACCTCCATCTGGCAATAACTAGTAGCAACTTCTTAACCTAAAAATTAATTGCACTACCACCTGGTAGCTAGGGCTGGAACAATTTTATTTGAGATTTCCGTGGAAACGGTGGAACCGCTTTTGCTATTTCACTTTTCCGCCCCTGAACACAACTATTCAAGAACACTTTAGATTTTTTCAAGAGATACGTCTATAAAAACCGTTGACGTTCTGTTAAAATGACATTATATCAAGTTAAACTTCATAATCAACAATTAACTACCTTATCACAATTAATTAATCAGGTAAAACCAAAAAGCCTCAAATTTTCTGTGTATGATTATTTTTTATTTGTTTTTAATTTTTACTTATGTTATGTTTCTCTATATTATGTTCATTAAAATCAAAGAAGCGATAGCCATACATTACTAACCTCTACCAATGCCTGAGCATTACATTTATTTATATTGGACTGAATCAAAAAAGTTTCTTTAGTTTGATAAAGGCAACAAACGCAGGTAACATACAAACAATAAAATGATTCTATAAGTTCCTATATAATTTTTGTCCCTTTTGAGCTACGGAACCCTAAACATAATGTACATCTTATTATTTCAGATACCAAACCCAAGCTGAAGAACCACTACAGAGCCCACAGGCTGTCTTTCTGGTTGAACCTGGTTCCAGACCTACACAAACCAGGCGGTGACGACGTTCCCTCTTCTCATCACGAACTGACAGATGACGACGAACCACTGCCCAAACTTCCGTCCCTCAACCCTCGCAAATTGCCCACCACAGAGAGTCCAGAAATAAGGACACTTTTCGGTAACGGGACTGCGATATTGGCCACCATGGGCTCGGCAGACTCGACAGAAAGAGTAGAAGAATTAGGTAAGAATAATAAACTGGCGAAACAATAAAATAATAAAATCGAAACCCTTTTCAACGACCAAAGAGAAGAAATCACTACCAGCATTAACATTGAAATGGGGCCATCTATTTTAAAGGAAGAAGTGCAAGCGGCAATAAAAGCAGCCAAAGATGGGAAAGCGCCTTGCCCTGACGATCTACCTGCAGATGCGCTCAGGTGCTATCACTTCTCTATTTAATAAGATCTACGAAACAGGGATGATACCAAAGGAATGGCTCCAGTCGACGTTTGTCCAATTCCAAAGAAGCATAATGCCAAAAAATGTGAAGAACACCGCACGATCAGCCTTATGAGATTAAGATCTTTCACACACTTAAGATCTTTCTCAAAGTCATCCACCGCAGGATTTACAGAAAATTAGAAGAAGATATAGCAGATACTCAGTTTGGCTTTAGAAATGGTTTCGGTACTAGGGAGGCTTTGTTTGCCTACAATGTCTTAATGCAGCGATGCCTTGATATCAATCAAAACATTCGATAAAGTAAGACACAAGCAACTAATAGAAGCGTTAGAACGAAAAAATCTCGATACAAGAGAGTTACAAATAATAGTAAAACTGTACCTTAATCAAAGTGCGTCTGTTCGCGTCCAATCTGAACTGACAAGAGCAGTGGATATTAAACGAGGAGTTAGACAGGTATGTGTTCTTTCACCACTCCTTTTCAACGTCTACTCAGAGGAAATCTTTAACAAAGCCCTCGAAAATGATGCTGGTGGAATACTAGTTAACGGCATACCACTGAACAATTTGCGCTACGCGGACGATACAATCCTTCTCGCTGAAAACATGCAAGACCTTCAGAATATGTTAAATAAAGTCATCACAACTAGTCGAGAATATGGTCTGACACTCAATGTTCAGAAGAATATCCTGGCTCAGAAACCTGCGAAAATGGTTTAATGTCACGTCATCTGACCTATTTAGGGCCGCAGCTTCCAAGGTCAAAATAGCAATGATGATAGCCAACCTCCGATATGGAGACAGTACATAAAGAAGAAGAAGAATAAACTCGCTACGTCTGACGTCACGTCAATAGGCATAGCCTTATTTTAGGTTCGTTACAACATAACAGAGAACCGTTCTGGGTACGGTTACGCTTATGCCCAGTAGAAAAAATGCATTCCAACCAGCATTGGAATCGTTCGTGAATCGGATTTGTCAAGGTGATTTCGAAACAAGCCTAGAATCGCGAATCAAAAGAACTGACCTAAGTAATAAGACTGTGTGTCAGCTGATTGTTATTTTTCATTTCTTTGGGTATTTTCGTTTTAAATTTGCTGATTCCTGAAGTTTTATTTGGTATTTATCGTTTTTATACATACTTTCAGCAGAACTTACACTAGTCATAGTCTTTATAGGCTTTAAGAAGACTTTCGACTCGATATATCCTAAGGCAATAATAGAAGCCCTAGAAAAAAAACAAGGTTTTGCCAGGCCTTATATAGAAAGCCTACTCTCGCCTACATATACAAAGAAGCCAAAGCAAGAGTAATGATGTATAAAGCAACCCCAGAGTTCCCAACTGGCAAATGAGTACGACAGGGAGACGCGATATTCCCAAAGCAGTTTATAGCAGCACTAGAAAAAATCTTTCGTCAACTGGACTGGACTAACAAAGTATTAAAAGTAAATGGAGAATATCTCAACCATGTAAGACTCGCTGATGACATAATCCTAATTGCCAATAAACTTGAAGAACTACAAGCACAAATTAACAAACTAAATACAGTCAGCAATAAAGTGGGCCTCAAAATGAATTAGAATAAATTAGATGAAAAACTAAAATAACATACAACGAACTAGTGAATAGAAAAGACATTCTAAAAATAACACAGCACTGAAAATAGTAGCAGAATACATATATACTAAGTGACATTGAAAATAGAACACACACTAAATATTATTTAATTTTAATGAATGTTTGTAAGCATGTTTATTATTGTATGGATAAGAAATGATTTACAACACACTAGTTTTTGTGCTATACATGTTTATATTAAAATTTCAGTCATCCAATATAAACCCGGCTTTCGCACAGTTTGTTACTTATTCTGCTACAGACTTGTTTCAGGTGATTTTCTGAGTTTATTATAATGCCTAGAATACGTAGACGTGCCGATTTTAGACAACTCAGTGATTTTGATAGGGGTCGGATTGTAGGGTCGCATTTCGAGACATTGCTGATAGAGTCCATAGAAGTGTTTGCACTGTTGCCAATTGTCTGTTTACCGACGAATACGGTCTTTTGGGCTGCTTTCTTTTCGGCCTCATTGGGTTTTACCCCTGAACATCGACGACAACGTCTAGAGTGGTGCAGACCCCACAAGAATGGGGCGCAGAATGGAATGCTATCGTTTTTAGTGATGAGTCGCGATTCTGTTTGGGAATGCACGACGGTCGGGCACGAGTGAGAAGATACCGTGGAGAAAGGCGAAATCCACAGTTTTTCATGGAGAGGCACGTAAACTAAATTGTAGGAGTTATGGTTTGGGGAACAATCGCATATGATAGTAGGTCACCTCTAGTATTTGTTCGAGGTAATATGACAGCCCAACGCTATATTGAGGAAATTGTGGAAGCTCATCTCTTACCATACTTACGAACGCTCCACGATCCTATACTTCAAAAAGATAATGCCCGTCCCCATGTTGCTAGATTAACTGTGAACCACTTACATAATGCTCAAGTAATCTCCTACCCTGGCCACCAAGGTCTCCAGATCTCTCACCAATTGAACATGTATGGGATATCATGGGTAGGAGACTGACAAACTTACCGCATCCTCCTCAGACACTAGAAGATTTTCGGCATGAGATACAGTTAGCATGGGATGAAATACCGCAAGAAGACATAAATCATCTGATTAGTTCCATGCCCAGACGACTCAACGAATGTGTAGAAAATCGAGGTGGTCCAACACATTATTAACAAGGACAAGGTAACGAGCCAATGTTTTCACTCCAAATTTTGATCATTTACGCTTTTTGTCAACCTACATTCATGTGCAAAACATTCTTAAAATGAAACAATTTTTAGTGGGTGTTCTATTTTCAATGTCACTTAGTATATTTGGGACAACTAGTACACAGCTCGGGATCTCTACTACCAGAAATCAACCAAAGAATTAAGTTGGCATGGAGTACTTATGGAAGAAACATTCGACCAATGTGTACTGCCAGTGATGACCTATACATGTGAAACTTGAATACTTAAAACGGATCTTGTAAGGAAACTGCAGGTCGCACAACGCTAAATGGAACGAAATATGCTGGGAGTGACCAAGAGAGACCGTAAAAGAATAGAGTGGATACGACAAAAGACCGAGGTAATAGATGTCATCCACAGAATCAAATCCCTCAATTGACAATGGGCAGGACACCTGGTAACAAGGATGGACAACAGATAAACTACAAAAATTATAACATGGTACCCACGAGGAATTAAGAGACATAGAGGAAAACCAAACTCGAGATGGGACCATGATATTAGGAAAGTAGCAGAGATAACTTGGGCTCGCATAGCCAACAATAGACAACAATGGTCCCAATTACAAAGAGAGTATCTAAATATGTGAAAGAGGCTACACCATATTGGAAATGGTTGAATTAGCTGAAAATGATGATGGTGATACATACTTAAAAAGATTTTTATATTTTTATAATAAATGATGAGTGACGAAGAGCACAGTTGTATTGAGTATTAGTTACTAAAACTAATAAAGATATCCTTAACAATTTATTCATATTTTCCCAAAAATTTTAAGAATCTGAACAAGTTTAAATTAACAAATTGCAGTTAGTTTTTATATTATATTCGGTGGTCAAAAATAAAAAATATACCAAGTAAAATGGAGATAAAAACCTGAAACGGTACGAGCACAGCTTAACTCCCTGGTCATTGTAAATAACTACCAAGGGATTTGCAGTGAGTTTATTATGTAAATTGGAGCTTTAAATTTAAAGCAACTTTACTTTTATATATTTTTTCGCTTATTTTATAGTCTTGTTTTTTAAGTTGTAAATTTAACGTAGCAAATGTGCCTTATAATTTATTTTTACTGGTTCTTTTTTTACATATGAACATTCATTTAAAACTGTATTGTGTATTAGGTATTTCAAGAAAGAAATAATTTCAATTAGGTAATTTCATCATTCAGTATAAAAAAATCAAAATGTAAAGAAACCAAAAAAACTTAAAATGTGTCAAACCAAAAACTTCAATACCTTAACTTGTTAATCAAACAACTGTGAGGTGGTCTAATTGAATTTTAAAGAAAACTGACGTATTTGGGGTTTCAGTTAGTTAGGATTACGTTATTATGAATTATTAATATAGAAAATATAACAATTACATTATACAGGGTGTCCTAATATTCCTTGGACATAGAACTACTACGTTTTTTTTTTCGAATCAAAATAGGTTCATTGGACACAATTTACCTCTATACAAAAGTGCTTCGTTTGTCCGCTAGAGGACATAACTTTAAAAAATAAACACATTTTTTAAGATATTTTAAAAGCCCTTTCATTCCGATTTGAATGAGACTTTTGGTGACTATGTTTAGCTAATTGCTTTAACATTCACAAAAATGAAGAAAAAGCACGGGAAGGGTAAAAACTACCCCTACAGAAATGTTAGTGTAAATATTTTCCAACTTAAAAAAAAATTACAAATTACTACATATTTTGCCTCTTGTAAAAAAATGCCACATTGTATAGTTTTTGAGAAAAAAAAATTGGAAAATGTACTATTCCAAAGCAGACCTTACAAAATATACAGGGGTTCCGATATTCCGTGGACATAGAAGAACTACGTATTTTATGAATCAAAATAATTTAATTGGACATAATTTACTTTTATACAAAAGTGCTTCGTTTGTCCGTTAAAGGACATCAATAAAGGATAAACCCAAACGTCAATTAATTTAAAATTTATTAATTTTCTTAAGTTTTTTATGACTTATTTTGAAATATAATTTGTGATACTAACATAAAACTTCATATTTTCGCCAACTAGATTAATTAGAGCATAATAGATTTTAGGCGCCTCCATAGCTTGATGTGATAAAAAACATATTTGGAAATCAGCTTCGGAAAAATATTTTTTTTTCCTTAAAAAGTATGTGCGTTGACGCTTTTTTACAAGTGACAAAAAATGTATTAAATACTAGAAGGACCATTTTACAAAAAAAAATCGGTCGTCGCCGTCGGTAGAGTTGAAAAATATTTATACTAAATTTAGGGTTGGGGGTAGTTTTCATACTTCCCGTACTTTTTCTTGATTTTTGTATAAGTCAAATGTAGTAGTTTAAAATTCAAGAACACATATTTTTATTTTATCATCTATTGTTATTCCCCAGCCGTCTTTGACGCAATTTTTTCTGGACCATACAGTATTATTTGTCTAGGATTACCTAACTATATCACTGATAACTGCAAGAAATACAGAAATAAAGTGATTATTTATTTTAGGTGGCCTTAGTACAACACAACACCCGGTAGAAGACGGTTTCGCCGCCTACTCCACCGCACTCAGCGTAACGATAGCCATTGGATGTTCCCTACTCATCCTCAACGTACTCATCTTCGCCGGCGTCTACTACCAAAGGGACAAGACGCGCATGAACGAAAACGGCTCGCACCAACCCAAAAAACGCAACGAAAACGGCCAAATGCCCAACAACATCTGCGGCGACCTCGAATCCAGCATCATTGGGGTCAAAGGTGACCCCGCCACCATCCTGGGTCACCATCACTCGCACCATCAACTCCCCCCTCCCGAATTCGCCGACTTACCTCAGAACAACGCGACGTTGCCACGTCACGCGCCTCCCCCGCCGAAAGTGGGCGGGAAGAGCAACGTGAACACTCTGAGTTCGCGCAGCGTGCAGGAAAATCAGCCGTTGCTGTCGACGCACAGCATACAGCTGATCAACACGGGCACGTTGACAAAGAAGAACACTCAAATGAATTCGAAACAGAACACGAACATGGAGGAACTGCGTGTGTGACAACAAGACGTTTACTTGTGATTTACTGTTGTTGTTGTTGCTCAAACTGGTGAAGGGAAATCGCGGTGGGTTACAGTGAGTGTTTGGGTGGGAGTTGTGGGACTATAGATATTGAAAGTTTTTTTTTAACGAATAGTATGCCGAAAAAGTCAAGAAAAATGGTTTGTTATTCAAGGTGTAAAGCGGGATTCACACAGTATCATTTTTAAATGTAGATTTGAGGTGAAACAAGTGAATCATAAAGAAACCATCACAACTTGACAACAATGTGTTCTTCTAGTAAGACGATAATCGCCCAGAGGGTGACAATAAATATCATGAAAAACGTTGTCTCAAAGGCTATTTGTTAAACGATAACAAAAGTTCGCATAAATGTATGTCCTAAAATACTTAGTTTCGGAGATACTGGGTGTAGAAGTTTCAATTTTATTTCGATTTTTTCCAAATAATTTCTGAAGTAGCGTCAATATTTGGATGAAAATTGGTGTTCGGGAGTTTTTTGACATGAAAAATTTGATTTTGATGTCAATATGACTCCTATTTGTAGAGAGCGCCACCTACATGCGTAAAATTATTTTGAAGAATAATAATGTTTCGTCCGTACCTGTATAAAACTACTGTATAAAGAAATATACATTTCCGTGATTTTTTACGTAAAAAATGTCTCTTGATAAAAATCGCTACGGGCAACCGTTCTCAAGATATTTAGAATGGAAATAGTCAATACATGTCATTATTGGCAAAAAATAAACATGTTGAGTCGATAGTTGCTTGACTAAAATTAGTGTTGCACAAGAGTCTTGAAAAAGTCTTGCAAGACCAAGACTCTTGAAAGAAATTCAAGACAAGACTTTCAAAATTTCTTGTCTTGAATTAATGTATAATTAATATGCAAGAAATTTCAAGAGTCTTGCAAGATTTCTTGAATTCAAGATTTCTTGAAAGTTAGAAATGATAGATTTTTTTAAGTGATAATTAGGTCTTTGCGCAAGTTATGCCGGGTTTATACAACATTTACATAGTCGCAATCACAGTCATAGTCATAATCATAAAAGTTAAACTAAAACTTCCTATAAACCTGTTGACATCTACCATGAACTTAGCCTTTATGTTACCTTAATTATGTTACCCAACTTCACTGATATAAAAATTATGATTATGACAATGTTCTATAAACGCACATTAAAATTGCGTTGTGATTATGACGATGATTAAGACTGTGATTATGATTACGACTTATGCAAATGTTGTATAAACCCGGCATTAATACTGACCAATGTTTTTTTTCTATCATAGCCAGTGTTTTAGAGTTGAGAATGAAATAAAATAAAGTCGAGGCAACAAACCGTATATTGGTAATTGGTATTATACACAAAATTATATTGGTATAATGGTATTATAAAAAAAAACTAATGATAGTTGAAACTAATGGTGGGTTCGTGGAGCACGCTATTTGGTACTACTTCTCATGCACGAAATTGCTGCGCGAACAAAAAGTAGTATCAAATAGCGCAAATAGCATGACCGTTCCGTATACCCTGTGTCCAAACTTTTCCAACCAATCTTCCATAATAAAAAAGTAAAACAAATACCATAAAAAATAAAAGTAACAAACGGGTAACCAAAATAGAACATAATAAACTAACAAGAATTAACAACTAGAACTAAAAAATGAACTTAACCTTACTTATTATTATTCAGTTTTTATTTCGTAATGACTCCTGTTTTGTCAAACGGGCGAGTTGACGTAGTTCGTTTACGGTCCGTTAAAATTTTTTTTGCTAAAATTAGCATCGTTGTTGTTCATTTTTCCGTATTACATTTTATATACGACCGCTTTCTATGAAATAAAATATAGAAATATTATTACTTTTTTGTTAGATTGTAAAATTTTTCGAGACAAGACTTTGCCATTCAAAAAATCTGCAAGACAAGACTCTGAAAATTTCTTGTCTTGAATTTCAAGACAAGACAAGAAATTGATTTTCAAGACAATTCTTGTCTTGTGCTACACTAACAAAAATGATAAATTTGGGAATTTTTATTTTTTTAAATGAATCATGAATTTTTCTTCGAAAAATTATGATAAAACAGTTACCGTTGATCTTTTGGCACAAAAAAAAATCAAATTTATGGTTTCAGTCTAATAACTATCGTATGATCGAATAAAAACGGCGTCAACGATGGCTATGAAATGAAGATTGCTGTTATTTTATATGTAAATTTATATGGGAAATGTCATCGATCGTCTTTTCCCAGCCAACTGGACGCCGTTTTTTTTCGATCATACGGTATTTAGTCAACATGTTTAATTATTTATGTCAATAATGACAGGTATTGATAACTTCGATTCCAAATATCTCGAGAACCATTACTGGTAGCGAGTTTTGCCAAAAGATCTTTTTTACATAAAAAATGTCGTAAATGTATATTTCTTTACTCGGTAGTTTTATACAGGCGGCGCCCCCTACAAGTAGGAATCATATTGACATAAAAATCAAATTTCTCATTCAAAAAACTCCCAGAAACTAATTTTCATCCAAATATTAATTTTACTTCAGAAATAAAAATGAAACTTCTACACCCTGTATCTCCGAAACTAAGCATTTTAGGACATACATTTATACGCACTTTTTTACTTATTTTTATCTGCAGAATATGCTGCTGAAGTTTCCGGAATACTATTCGGATCACCCTGTATATAACATTTTATTTTTTACTTCATCGTTATGTCAGAATATTCAGATAATTTTTAATGTAAAATGGAACGATTAAAACTGTGTTTCTTTCAAAAAAGTCCTATGTGTATTTTGCCACTTACACTGTAAGAGAACCTACAAAATAAAATAATTATTTTTTTCTATAAACGTCAGTAAAAATGTAATTTTTAACGCAAATGCAACATTTAACGCATGTCAGTGCCTAAAATGTGACATTATGTCACTGATGGTAAAAGTCATTTACTTTAAGCACTGGTGCTAAAAGTAAGTCACGTGATTTACTTTTAACACTCAAGCAATAATTGAAAAAAAAATAAGAAAAATCAAGTCAACGTAAAATAATTATTTACTCAAATTAAAGGTACCGGGTGGCCAATTAAGAATGGACGCTGGCTGTATCTCAGAAACTATATATCGTATAACTTTGGGAAAAAAATGCCAATAAGTAAATCGACCAATAGAAATCACTGGAAATTATTTTTAAGGTCGAAAAATGTCAGCTAGGGGGCGTTTCCCTGATAGCCAATCAGAAAACAGGGCTTTTCTCAAAAATATGCAGGTGAACAGGCATTTTAAATGTTACTATTGTAATCATCGAGAAATTTGTAATTTTTTTGATATATAGTGTTTTGCTCTATCTCATAAAATAAAGTGGTGGGGGAAGGTTAAACTTGCTTTTATTAAAATAAGGATAACTCTGGTTTAGGTTAACCGATTTAAACAAACTAGGGCTCGTTTAAAAGAGCTTTTCTTCCTTAATGATCCCCAGTATAAATTTTGTTTGCATCATTTTTTTCGTGGTAGCTAGAGGGCGCTTTTTGACATCATAACAGATATTACGCTTTTGCATAAAAAAATTAAATAGGAGGCTATATTTCTGCTTACGCATTTAAATAGAGCACAAAATTTCCAAAATATCAGCGTAAACCGCCATTTTCTATCTTGTCTCTAATCGGAGATATTAAGAGAACAAATTATGTTAGGCTGCCGCTTAGGATTATATGGTCTAAAAATTGTAGTAGTAGGCTAGGAAACAAAGAGAGGTAAAGTAGTTACGTCAAAATATCAAAACGTTTAAGTTCAGTTTTCATGCATCTGAATTTCTGGCGTTTTCTTAAAAAAGATGACGTCATAAATTTTTAAACGTGTTTATGTAACATTATCGTCCATCCATATAATTTTTACGAATTTCTTCGTTAATTATACGTAGGTTCTCAGATTAAAATGTCGGACAATCAATAATTTTATTAAAATTTCTAGGAATTTTGTGCCGCCATATTGTTTTTAACAGAAAACGGCCAAATTTCGTATGGCCGAAAACTAGGGGTTTATTTCATGTAACGTCATTTAGCTATTAATCCAAGTTCGTCCTTGATTTCACTTGTATTTTATATTTTTTTGAGAAAAACCCTGTTTTCTGATTGGCTATCAGCGAAACGCCCGCTAGCGGACATTTTTCGAACTTGAAAATAATTTCCAGCGATTTCTCTTGGTATTTCTCATTTACTTATAAGAATTTTTTTCCCAAAGTTATACGATAAGTAGTTTCTAAGATACAGCCGGCGTCCATTCTTAGTTGGCCACCCGGTACAATTAGTGAAATTACAATTGGAATAAGTTATTCCATGGCCAATTTCATTTATAGCTGTTGTACAAGTAGAAGTTATCTCTGACGTGAATCTTGTACCAAGACTAGAAGCAATGGTAGTATCCGCTGAGGTTCTGGATAAAATGTGACCTGCAATACTCGTTTTATTTTGTAAAGAGTCTTCTATATAACCCTCCACTACCGGTACTGGAGTTCCATCCACCGTGCCGCTTAATTGTATTAAGATATAGATAAAAATGAGATCACTTTCCATCATTTTACAAGAGTTGAGGCACAAATTTGACATTAGTTGACAACAAATGATCGAATGTTTGGAATCTTTCAATTACCCTAGCAACCATAAACTTCATAATTAATTTGATTTCAGAATACATATTATGAATTATTCATTAACGTAAAGAGTATTAATACCTTGATATATACGAGCATAAACTTGTTTTAAATAACTACATAATATACAGGTTGGCGCACCTCATTCGCCTCGGTTGATTATACGAAAACGGAAAGATGTAGAAACAAAATATTTTATGGGTATATGTGGGGAGACAATGTGCACAATTTAAAATTATTTTGAAATATACAGGGTGTTTCAGAACTAAGATCCATACCAAAGTTATATTTTTTTATGGAACACCCGGTATTTTATATCATTTTTGGATTCTTGGGCCCAA